AGGGAAAATAGTGGATGTGGGACCATTTTCCCTCAGCAAATCCCTAGGCTGCGCTGGGACCTAGAGTGAGTCACATCTGGGCCTGCCCTTTAGGGGCTCCTGGTCTGATGGGCACAGGGAATAGTGTATGTGCAGGCTCAGGGCAGGAATGGCAGATCAGGGCTAAATCCGGCCCACAGGATTTTTTCTTTCACCCATAATACGTTTTAAATGTTTGAATCAATTGCTTGCTGTTACCAATCAGACAGTTTGCTTTTTTAAAAAAATTGTATTCCTCTGCTGGGCAGGGTGGCTCACGCCTGTAATCCTAGAACTCTGGGAGGCTGAGGTGGGAGGATCGCTTGAGGTCAGGAGTTCAAGACCAGCTTGAGCAAGAGGGAGACCCCGTCTCTACTAAAAATAGAAAAAATTAGCCAGGCGTGGTGGTGTGCACCCGTAGTCCCAGCTACTTGGGAGGCTGAGACAGGAGGATTGCTTGAGCCCAGGACTTTAAGGTTGCTGTGAGCCAGGCTGACACTACTGCACTCTAGCCCTGACGATTGAGCAAGATTCTGTCTCAAAAAAAAAAAAAAAAAATCTGGCAGCCAACCTACAATCCCTCCTGGCAACAACTGGCCACGTAGCAGAGGCCCTCTCTTCATGGGGTCCACACTCTCCATTGAAAGTCTTTCACTGAACTATCGTCCAGGCCATGAGACAGAAAAAAAGAAAGTCTTTCACTCACTCAATTATGTTTCCTGCTTGGCCCCTTGGCTTAGAAAGTTTTTTAAAAAATGGTGTTTTGAGCAGCGCCCAAATTTTCTGCAGTGGAGGGGACAGATGAAGCTAGAAATATTTGTTGGAGTCTGATCAGGAAAATCGAGCTGAGGGGCTTTTACTCTACTCTGGAAAGCCTTTCTAGGGCTCCCTGTGGCCCACTGGGAAGCCATAGAGTCCATGCCAGCATAGAAGGGACTGGACTGGGAGCTCCATAGAGGGGACAGGGCTGAATGACTTGGCTGAGGTCTTATGGTGGGCAAGTGGCAAGTAGGGGCCAGGCTGGGATTTGAACCCAGGCAACTTATTTCAGAGTCATGCTCCGGATGTCTCACACCACCACCTCTCTCAC